TAGCGGACTTCCTGCGCGAACATGCTTGATGGCAGCCCCCTCAACCCCTCCCCTCCCCACCACCTGACGCCTCGAAGGAATCTCTAATCAACATAGCAGATGTGTTCAGTTTGAGCGCTGTGAAGGGTCACACAGAGAAAAGCGAAGCAGCAAAGACTTCAGCACCTCCCTCAGGGCTGGGAGAAAGCCACATGTCACACCTGTGAGGACAGCCTGCTCTCGGGCCCCGAGACCAACAGAACTAGCCCCCTTCTCCTCTTTACCAACATTTTTCATTTTTGAGACTATCGGCGTTATACTGATATTTACCACCGCTGTCCTACCCATTGAAAACAGGGAGTGGGAGCAGGACTTTTTCCGTTTGTTTATTCCATCCTGAGATGTTTTCCAGGGACACACGGCTCGTTTTGGTTTCTGTTAGCGACCATCCCAAAACTGATCTCTATTTTTTTTCCCCAAAAAAACTTCGCCACAGTGTTTGCTGGCGAGGAGGACAGCTACTGTACATGTGTCTTGAACCGTTTCACCCATGCCTGCTCGTCTAGGCCATAGGAGAGACTGTGGGCTCCCTGCCACTGTACAACAGCCCTGATGCTGCTCACACTGTCTCGAGATGCCTCATTCTCAGACCTCCGCGAACGTTTTCAGGCGGACTGAGCCACACAGATACGACCATATACCAAAATATTGGATTGTCTCCTAATGGGCCACATTACCGTTTGTAGACAGGAAGGCGTACACAATATACAAATCAATACAGGCTATCAGTCTTAAAGGAAGAATGATTTTCCAATCAATCAGGTCACTTAAATGACATATTTCACAATCTTGGAGGGAGTTTCATCTACTGTACCTCCACGCTGATGACATCAGTAGGTATCTGATCATGAAAAACGCACTACGAGCCTTGTGTTTCAGTCATTAGTCATGTGTTATTGAGATATTGCAGTGTTATTGCTGACATCTAGTGCAAAATGGTACTAGAAAATCATGTATGGGATTGTTAAGAGGTGAATTTGGTACTTTGGTTAATATTTTAATTGTTTCTGGCAGGAAGTGTTGTCATCGTACTGTATTACTGCCAGCTACCCTAAAATAAATACTAAGCCAGTCCAGAGCAGGCAGTAGTAGAACTATGGTCAACACTGTCTACATTTGCTCAGGCAGCTCATACAGCTTTACTTCTAAATATATTTTAGAGATGTTTCCTACTTTGCAGCTGTTTGTCCAATCTGCTTTGCTTTCGCCTAAAGATGGAAAAAATGCTCAATTTGCAGAAGCGCAACGATGTCTTGACTACATCCTTGAAATCCTCCACGACCACAGAACTCAAGACTGATTTGATTGGATTGAGATTCAGGTTGTCTGCATTTCACACACAATCAGATACCAAGCCATCATCTCTCTGTTTATCATTCTGGGTTTATTATGAAGGCTGTGCAATTTGCCTCTGGACACAAAGACAATTCCACCAGAAGTAACTGTGCTACAGTATGTTAGTTCCACTGGCCCAAACGAAGCACCGAACAGTCCTGCTCCTTGGCTTTATGTTTTATTCCAAAAGTTATAATGATATTAGGTCGGTTGTTTTTTCTCCCTCAGGAAAGGGTTATGAAATTCTAATGCAAAGATTCCTGAATTATATTCCTAGACAGGGGAGAAATGGGAAGAGCTTCTCGCACAGTGTAGGAACTTCTTCAGATAACCCTGCTACATCTCAATCATTCAAACAGCCAGAGTCCTTTCCTTCTTTGTACAGAATTCCCAACACACGCAGCTTTGTGTTTTTAATGTGGTGGGTGAAATACAGCACAGATGCATGGAGAATTTAAAGAACTAATCTTGCACTGGTAGGAGCTTTGAGGAAGGGAAAGGAAATTGATCCCGCTGCAAAAACCTACCTGTGTCTGAGTCAGGTCCTGATAAAAATCCGCGTTCTGCATATAATATCGGGCTTTTGATCACGGTAAAATCTGCGTTTTCAGCCAACCGCAACAAGCACAGCACACAGAATAACCGGCATCACCGAAGACAACAGCAACCGTATCGATATAACCCAGATAACGATGCCTGGCACGACTCTACACTTCCAGGAATTTCATTGCGCTCTCTAGCAGCAGGCAGCACGGTCCCGGAGCAGTCAGTCGGCGGCTTCTGCTCACGGGGGTAAAGAAATCGCCTTTGCCTCTCTGTCTCGCTTTGTACGCAGTCCGGCAGAGCGTCACCCCCTTGATAACCATCCCAGCATAGCAAACAGGCACAAGAGCAACAACAACAACAACAACAACAGGAAAAAAAAACTCCCTTAAGTAATGCTGCACTTCATAGAGGAGTCTGGACCTGCTCGCTTAGCCTTCACTGGGTTCCCGTCAAGGGACTCTGCGATCGCCTATACGTTTAAAAACTCGGTTGCAGACTGATAAGAGGGGGCAAAATGGAGGAGGAGGGGGTACAGGCACGTTCCCAAATTAAAAAAAAAAAAAAGTTCAGGATTAAGAGCAAAGCCTCTTTTCAAAGCGAGCCAGAAACAGGAGCCGATAACCTGCCTTTGTATCAGATCAAGTGCGGGGCTGTATCTTCCTACAGTAGATGGACGCAAGTCTAGGCAAACAAAAGTCTTTGTAACATTTAACACGGCTGAGGTGACATCCCCCCAGTACCATTCGGAGGAGCGAGAGGATAAATAAATGTTGTTGGTTTTTTTTTTTTGGACTCACCTAGTATTGAGGCTCAGAGCTGGAAATAGTAGCAGCAGGCAAACCGCACAGATGAATTTCATAGCTTTGTTTCGCTCTCTCTCTCTCCTTCGCCTGCTACCCCTCTCGCTCTCCTGCTCGGCTCTCTCACTCCGCCGGCGCCGGCACACACACACACACACCGGCACACACGAGCACACACGGCGCCTTCTTCCGCGGGAGAGACGGTTGTCCTCGTTTTTAAATAAATTCCATCTGGGGAAGACGGACAGACCGACGGAGCCGGGGAGGGGGGGGGAGAGAGAATAAAAGCTCAGAGAGTGATTTGAGATTGAGCAATGATGTCACTGCCCGTGTAGCCAGTGTGAGAGCTGCCTTCCCAAATGTTTGCGATCGCGGCAGGCAGCGTACCCCTTCATATGGCATGGGAGTTGTTATTACGACCAGTTGAAGTGGCAGAAAGGGAAGTGTGTTATGTGGATAGAGGTATATTCATGGAAACGCAGAGCTCAATGAAATACCCCCAAATGAACACCCTGTTCATTCCATTCAGATTGTATTTGGCACAAGAGCGAGGACCTCAATTTTATACGAACAGCAGACAGTTCCAGTTAATTCAGTCGCGTTTGAACACGTTTCCAGTTTCAACAGACATGCGGTAGACGTCTGTATTTGATACTCAGAGATGACAATACAGTGGAGGGGAATGTGCGATGTACAGTTTATTTAATGGCGGTATGAATGTCACACGGGAGCGAGATACTGTAAGACACCGTCGTGACGTGTGTCAAATTCACAAGAAAAGATGTCCAAACTCGCAAATGCCCCCCCCCCTTGCAAATTGCGTGGAGCTGTTAGGGCTGCCGCGCGCGAGGCTGCAGATAATTAAGGCATGATAAATGACTTGCATTACCAGTTTAATGGAGTTTGGGTCTATTGTCCAGGAATGCGCCGGCTCTCGTTTTCCATCCGTGTTCACCCATCTCGTTTGCTCTAATTAAAGGCATCCGCATGGAAAATGGCTTGTGTTCAGCGACTACTCATAATGAGTTCTTAGACCACATCTGGTAAGGGTCACAGTCTCCAACTTTCCCAAAGTCAGCCAAGGTGCTCTCGGAGAGCCCCCACACGTCATCTGTCTTCATTACTGATAATCAACGGGATATCATACCCTCATACCAAGGCAGAGCTGCACTTTTGCTGACAATTATTAAGGCAGCAGGAGCATGTTAAATTCTCCAGAACTGTTCTGCCAGCTGTAAGAAAAAAAAATACAGACGGACACAGTGTCCGTATGTTCTTATAGTATACGATACACTATGAGAGGTACCTGTAGATAATGTGGCGCTTTTCTTTCTGATGATAGTTCTTGAGCTGGGCTAATGGTGAACGGGGTTTACAAGCCTTGCTTGTGGCTGTCGGTTAACAATTACTTTATTTCCTCTCGTCCATCTCAGTGCCTCTCACCCTCATCTGTGTCCCCCTCATTTCCCGATGGCTTTTTCCTGTCAGCTAAAAAGATTTTTTTTAAAAACGAAACAAAAGCACAAGGTTTAAAGTGACAGGCACCGCGCAAGTCTGGCTTTGCAGTTTCCTGACACCTCTGCAGAAAAGCGGAGCTGGAAGTTTATCCCAGAGGACTGCGTTTTGTGTTTTTTTTTTTCAATGCTGCGCTATCAACCACAGACAGCAGAAGAAATGTCTGTGGTAAACACGTCAACATGGCTCAGGCCTGAGGACTGGACAGTTTGTTTTTTTTAAGAGGGAGAATTCAATTCTCCGAAGTTTCTGGGGGTGAGCTCGCTGTCTGGGCTGGTTTTCGGATTCCAGCTTGTTTCGCCGTTTAGCGGAGATGTGGACTCCCGGAGCTGTTCAGCAGAAGCTGCGCTCACAGACTCATTCACAGCCAGCCTCTCCTCTGAAGAAGGGCGCCCACGGAGGTGACACACGGCACGTCAGCCCCAGCGCCAGCGCTTAAACGGGTAGCCTCCCGATCGAAGCCCGGGCGCAGAGGGCAACAAGACCTTAATCTCGTTAATCTCCAGCGCAGGACGAGACAGGGGGGCTTGCCAAAAGTGTTCAGTTGGGTGTCAGTGGAATACGGGCCAGCAGACACAGATGGACATGAACACTAAACCGAGGCGGGCGCGTGGGGACAAGCTGATCATAGACAGCAGCATGAGACTGTCACAGCAATTAGCTCGGCGCGATCAGCCAAGCACGGTGTGCCAGATGGCCTTCTCTCAGCTGTGCCCTTCATGCCCCCTGTTCTGTGTTGAGGATCAGACCAGGGGATGGGGGAGGGCGGTACCTGCGTCCCGTGTCACGAACCGCATTCCTCCAAGCGCCCACACCCCCGCACTAATTAATCAAGTGTCATCCCTCGCACTCTTCCCTGTTCACACCCTCTCACTAGTGAGAATGACCCTTGGCTTTCTCTTGGGCGCGTAAACTGCTCTCGACCTGATTTCCGGCCGCCCGCCCTTGTTTTCCTCCGGCTTCGACTCCGCCTCGCCTCTCGTTTTGGATTTGGATGCTCTCCACCTGACTCTTGGGATTCCCGACCTGGCTCTTCTACCTCGGCTACGACTTTCTGCCTTCTGCCTCTGGGCTTCGGACGCCAATCACTGGCAACAGCCTCCAGTCTGAGCGCCGCATTGGGTCCAACTGTGACCGTTGCGGTTCTGTGTGGGCCCTCTGCCGCTCCACCTCACCGGTTCGCCTCGCAAACACCTGGGGCGCGAACCCGGGTCTCCGGCGTAACGCAACAGGGAACCAGCCGAGTGAGCTAAAGAGGACCTCCCCCAGCCCAGGCGGCTGAGGTCCCTGCTACACGCAGGGAGGGCGATGACGTCACTGTGCCCAGACTAGCTCTGCAACACAACCACGTGCTCCTAACATCCTCACTGACATCCTGACATCCTGAGCCATACTATTCCCTGGGCTATGCACCAGATACCGCCTTCCCATCGCCAATCGCCCAACCTCTCACTGACAAAAGGCCCAATTCTGTGGCCTGATTGAGATTACAATGAACATCAGCCATTCACACACATACTCCTGCACCACAGCACAGACCACCTGTCATGATCGCAATCCCTCCCCTTGAGAGCGCTCCAGCCCTTTCGTATTTTAGTTGATTTTCATGGACCTGCCCCCTGTTTAGCCCGTCTGTATTTAAGCAGAGAGCTCCCGCTATGCCTGGCTCAGCGTTGGGACATGGACACCCGGATGCCCGCCTAGGATCAAGTCGTCCTACGTCCGCGGCTTGAGGGCTTAGGCTTCATCACGGCGTCCTGACCATCTGAGACCGGGGCTCGGAGCGCCTGCTTTTATCTTCCTGGTTCCCTGTCCCTGATCCGCATCCCGTTCCAGATTTGAACTGTGTTTGTTCAAATGGATCCCCCGGTTTTGGACTTTGGACTGCGTCCTGGATTCGCCCTTTTGGACTTCCCTGAAACCGTTTGCCATCGCCACGCCCTCCCGAGCACTGGATCATCCCCGTCACGCCCCCCCGAGCACCGGATCACCCCCGTCACGCCCCCCTGTCTGTCTGTCCACCCTTATCCTTGTTGTCTCCTCCCTGTCTTCCTTCTCCACTTACTTCCGGATCATACCGTCTGCACAGGGTCCTGAACTACGCTTCGTGGGAGCCTGGCCCTCTCCACATTGGCCCACTGGCAGGAGAGTCGTTTCTTATTTGTAGGCCAGACTGCGTTGCGTGAAGACAAGCGGTTTTGGTGAACGCTCAGTCTTGACTTGAAGGACAGCCGAGGGTCTCCGTTCGTTCACATTGACAGGAATCCAGTGTCAGCGTCTGACCCTTCAGGACCCTGGCTGACTGACACGCGGTCTCCAAGCTCATCGCCGGCTCTGGCGTTCTGCCATGCCGTGGTCATGGGACCAAACAACAAAGAGAGATGCCCTTGTCACGCCCTGCTACTGCAACAAAAGAACAGAAGATCAGCTTCAACAACAGGTGGTCGGAAGCTTGTTCCACACTCCCACAACCTCTGGGCAAAGAAGTGACCCTTTTTCTTAGTGTTAAATATACCTCTATGTAGTTTCCTCTTGTGAACCCAGGTTCCTGTTTCTCTTCATTCTGAAAAACAAATCTGATGGGCTATCTTTGCACTTGAGGATTTTGAATACTTGTTGTGTTCTCGTCTGTTCAGGACTAAAAAGGTTCAGTTCCTTCAACCTGCCATTGTAGGCTATTTCCTTAAGCTCATGTAAGCATCTGGATGAAATCCAGAGCACAAGAATGCTCTGTAAAATAAGTCTTTCTGAGAGCAATCCTGCATACAGCACAGCATACCACGAGGCAATACTCTTGACGTCTTTTTAAAAATTCCAGCTCCCGTTAAAATAAACTTTTAATGTAATATTTATAATCACCAGCTAGAAATACCTGTCTCTTTTTTCACTCTCATTTCCCAGGAGAGGCAGTCTTTTATACCACACAACGCAAGTGTAAGACTCACAGGCAACTCAAAACAAGCTGCATCAACACGAGGCATTAAAACCAGAAGCTCAACAATGCTCTCAAGGCACAAAACCTTATTTTAGTTCTGTCCCATTATGTTCTGTGATAATAATGGGCTTTTTCACACACTGCTATGTGCCTGGAAGAAACACCACTGCTCTGTCAAAAGAACTCAAGCTCTTAATAAGCCATAATACATTGCTGCAATTTAAAAGCAAAAAAGAGTGTGCTGTGTTAATTGAAAACAGAAAATGTAATGCTTATGCCTGGCGTATTTATAAAGCTTTCCTGTTAGAATTTCAAAAAGACTTTTGCACAAAATAACTAATGGAAAAACAAATATTGGAACATTTCTTGTCACCGCTATTATAAAAGACAGAGGCTTTCATCTGCACTGAAATCGCATGAAAACCACAATACAGTATCATTTATAAGAAGGGTTACATCTTTGCTAATGCTGTTGCCATCTCATTTACAGGTAATACAGCGTTGAAAGACTCACAGAGTGTATGTGCTGCTACTTTGTTTGAACAGAGAATGAAACGAGAAGCATACAGCAGCTTAAAACATTTAGTGTTGAAAAAGAAAAACAGACTACAGCAGACCTTTGACCGCCGAAGCAGAAAACTGAACATTAGATTTTTGGAAATATATTTTACATCTTTGTATGGGGCTCTGTGGGAGGAATGATGTGTTGATTCATGTCACTGTGAGTGTTGAAATGTCAACCTGGCCCGTTCTCCACTCATTGCTGAATGAAAAGGC